CTCTGGGCCTCAGACAGAATGGGAACATGGATCCATCATGCCTTGTTACCACTGTGCAGGCTGGTGGTGGTGGTGTAATGGTGGGGGATGTTTTCTTTAGGCCCCTTAGTGCCAATTGGGCACCGTTTAAATGCCACGGCCTTCCTGAGCATTGTTTCTGACCATGTCCATCCGTTTATGGCCACCATGTACCCATCAGGATAATGCACAGTGTCACAAAGCTTGAATCATTTCCAATTCGTTTCTTGAACATGACAATGAGATCACTGTACTAAAATGGCCCCCACAGACACCAGATCTCAACCCAATAGAGTATCTTTAGGATGTGGTGGAATGGGAGCTTCATGCCCTGGATGTGCATCACACAAATCTCCATCAACTGAACTCGACTCCGCTTTGCGTCGTGCCTAACGATGCCCTTCAGCCGTTACTTATTCGCAATACAGCACAGCCTCTCGTACCTTATTGCTTACATACTAAAAATAAATATTAACTAGCCCCAATCTATTTTTTATTTTACCTATAATTGAAAGCCCCATCTTCAATTATTCCTTATTTAAAATATATTAATTATGAGTTTTATTGTGTTATTGATAATAACTAATTCATAAAATAAGTTGTTTGAAACTCACAGAGAGAACAATCATATGCGTGCATATTTGGAAATTTGAAATATTGCATGACAACTAACCAGGTCTCATTGAAATCGAATGGACTGATTCTAAACCCCTTCAGGCTAATGCAGAGCAGCTGTTAGATGGACCGCAGGAGATCACCTGTTGAGGACGGTGCTTTGATGCTCATCAAAGGCTTCATGCAAGGAGTTCTTTCTCTGAGGTCTGGCCCATATCATCTCATATGATTCTCAAACTTAATTATGTGATGTCAGAGTTTACAATTCAAATGGACAGAGATGAAGCCAACTGATGCTCAGAAATCTTAAAAGCAAAAAAAGTATAATCAAATATCTCCATGTAACACAGTGTCCTAAAGAATACAAATACTTAACAACATCAAATCATGTGGTAACCACAAAAAATCTCAGAGACCTGGTCGATATTCTAATAAGTCTGTCAAAGTCTTTACTCACAGTTCTGCTCATACAATATAGAGATTCTTCTGCAATTGGGGAAATAGAAGAGGTATGTTGCAGTACAATCTCTTTCAGCAGATGTTGGGATAGGAGTGTAGGTAAGATGAGCCTATAGATGAGCAAATAATGCCTATTAAGTTACATAACCGATTAGCCTGTGCTTCACATATATTTTTCCTAGTATTTTGGTAAATATTAAAACCTGACTAACTTAAAGGTCCCAATCTTTCTATTCAGGCCAAGAGTGAAGCAGCTGGCAGTTAAGTTTGGTATGTTTATATCCAATTATTAATTTTAATACACTTTCATTGCATAGAGATACTATATATATATATATATATATATATATATATATAAATTGCATCATATGCTCTCAATGAAAAATGCTGAACAATTAGTTCATGCATTCATGACTGTCACAGGGAGGTTCGAGGAAGACGGAGATGAAATTAGAAATAACACTTTCTTTAATAACGCAAACTCCCCAGTATGAGCGAGCTCTTAACGCATTATAGTCTTTCATATATATTGTAATCTCAAAATTTCTTCCAGTTGGTAATAGTAGAATATCAAAATCGACTGCTGGCGGTAGATCCTTTCCCTTTTTAGCACCAAAACTTTGGAACAATGTTCCTAACATTGTCCAGGAAACAGACACACTCTGCAGTTATGAGTCTGCTAGGCCAAAGAGATATGTTTTTAGTCTAGATTTTAACTGACAAAGTTTAGATCAGCCAGAAGAGCGAACACTCCCCATGAATCCTGGTGTACTTGTTACATCACAAGAAGGATGGCATCTACACTAATATTAGTCTGTTTATCCGAGGTTTACCTCAGTCTGCTGGATCCTAGGCCGTATCCAGATCTAATGCAGAACTTGGGCCAAGACACAATGACAACACAGTCCGCAGTGTCAGCCAGTCCCTTTCCTGTTTACTGAAGTCAGCCGGATCGTGGCCGTATCCAGATCAGATGGTGGACCTGCACCTGGACCCATCCATGACACATCCCTGAAGTGCCAGCCTCATCAGCCCTTTGAAGGTCTCATCGACACGACAGTCATCGACACTGATCCTCAACAAACTCATCTCCACCACCGGCGTGATGACTCCAGCTTCCAACCAGATGGAACTGGATTAATATTCTGAATGTTCTGATCCAATCGGACTTCTGACCTGTAATGCTGCCTGAATCATAAACACTGTTCACTCGTTTTGCCAGAGTAGAACTGGCCCCCGACTGAGCCTGGGTTCTCCTAAGTTTTTTTTTTTCTTCTCCATTCTGTCACCTGATGGAGTTTTGGTTCCTTGCTACTGTTGTCTTGGCTTTTTGCTTGCTAAGTTGGGGACATTTAATATTCAAATGTACTATAGGCCTTACTTAAGGTGGACGATGACGCAATTTTCTTTTAGAAACAAATTTGTTTGTTTTATTTTCATGTTATCACTGTGAAGCTGCTTTGATACAAGCTGTATTGTAAAAATTGTAAAGGTGACTTGACTTGAATTAAAATGTGAATTAATACTATTTATTGCACAACACAAATTAAAAAAGGGGGGAAAAAATCTGTGTCGTGCACTAAAGTGCAAACTTTGTGTTTCTATCTATGATAAAAGGAGCTAAAGGACAAGTTTGGAATTTTACAGTTTTGGAGTTTTAAGATCGTTTCTAATGAAATAGGACGGTTAAGATTGGACACATGCCTTTTTTATTTCAGAATGTGTATAGTTAGCAGTTTAGTTACTTGAAAATTTGAATTTAAAAACTTACAAAAATGAATAAAGTGAGTAATTTGTTACTGAGAAATTAAAACTGTTTATATGAATGTAAAATAAATTGTAATGTAACACATTTTAAGTTATCTTTAATTTAATTATGTTCTGTGAACCTAAACACTCCTTGTAAAATGACTTGATCAATTATGTTACAGTAACTTGTAAGATTCAGTTAAAATGACCTAGTACCAGTTAGTTAAAAAAATGATGTTTCTAGTTAGTATCACTTAAAATTTGCAATGCAATCAGTTTCAACTTTTTTTTAAGTTATTTTAACTTATCCAGTTTGAAAAACTTAATAAAAAAAATAGATGGAATATTAAAATGAGTTTTTAGATAATGCATCTTGAATATTAGCATTTGTTTTCAATTATTTTAGGTATAGACTCAACTAGGCTATTTTTTTTTTTTCTTCTTCCTATTTATTTTTGGTGTCCTGTGACCCTGAATAGGTGGAGAATGGATGGATGGATTTTTTTTTCACTGTGTATTTTGAGGTTTGTTGTTAAACTAGCAATGATGTCCAATGGGACAAGGATTACTGATGCAACCATTGCCCAAGTGACACAATAATCCTTTCAGAGAGGAAAGAGAGATAGCTAGAGATACACCCACTTTTCTTTCAAAAGGAGAGGGACAGAAAAAAAATCAGGCCAGACACAAGCTGCAACTTCTATTTATATTTTTACATCAATCTTCTGCTCTCTAGCCTCCCATAAACGTGTACATATTTATATCAGGGGAGAGCAGCTAGTTTGATGCAGCAACATCACATGTTAGAATATAAATAAAACATTCCAGATGACCACTGCTGTGATGCTACTCACATGTGTGGTGGTTTCATCTATATAAACTATGGCCGATTCAAATTCACAGAAGAACAGCAGTTCCTTCGTGAAAAAAAAAAAAGAGAGAAAATACAAAGAAAAAGCTGGATATGAGCACATGACATAATGCTCTCTGAAATGCCAAATAAGAGTCGCTTCCTCTCTGCAGCTGTTGAGTGAAAACCCATTAATGGCACAAAAGGCCATGCAGCAGCCTGGAGTAACCTGTCATTTCACACAATGTTTACTTGCTGAGTCATTACAGGAGATTTTCTCATACAGCGGAAGCATATACTTAGAATCAGCCGAGGCAGACTCACATTAAATACTAGATGCACTGGGAATTGAAAAGGTCAATGGCACTGGGTGATAATTACCAGAGAGTTTGGGATTATATGTCACCTGCCATTTTTACTTTCACAAACCCATTTAATTAATTGCTTAGTTTGTTCATAACGGTTTTACCATTTAAAATCAACTGAAAAACCTTGAATAAGATGTTTAATAGCAGGTTTCATTGTGATGATTTGCCACATTATTGGTCTACACACAAAAGTTTCATTTGTTTGATCAAAAATGCTGTGAAAAACAGTAATATTGTGAAATATTATTACAATTTAACATAAGTGTTTTCAGTGTTTTCTATTTGAATATATTTTAAAATGTAATTTATTTCTGTTGGCAAAGCTGGATTTTCATCATCATTCAGTGTCAAATCATTTTAATATGTTGATTTAATTCTCAAGAAACATTTCTCATTATTATCAATGTTGAAAACAAGTGTGCTGCTTAATATTTTTGTGGAAACCATTATAGGCCTATATATATATATATATATATATATATATATAGGCCTTTGATAAAAAGAACATAAAAACATAACTGTCTTCACTGACACTTTTAATCAATTTGGAAATGGTACTGTTCAGTGGACTATTAGGAAATAAAGGTGAAAATGTTCAATAGATGTTTGAAGAATAGATTTTATCTTGTGTTTTTTCAAATAGATTTGTGACCATTTAGTGACTTACACTGATAGGCTTTTCATCAGAGTAAAAAGTGTGATAGCTATCCCCGATCTTCCTTATATTGTGTAACATTTTGCAGCAAGCTAAATAACAAATCATTATTAATCAGTGAATCTTAAAATTCTTTTAAAATATATATCTTCTGAGACAACACTGCCTCCCTCTGGTAGTTCTAATTAGTAGTTCCCAACGAAGGAATAAGCAATATTCTAATTTAAATGCGACCAATGACATGATTACCTGCATATGCAAATTAATTAACTGAAAATTACGGCAGGGTGAAGAGTGAAATATGAGTCTGACCCACAATATCTCACAGCTTTTTACCAAGATGAGCTCATTAATGTGGTATTTGCTCTTTGTGACTTTGATAACTTCTCCAACTGTGCCTGCAAATGAGTCCTCAACGCAGAACATGAAGGTATTTTACGTTTAAGTATAAAATAAAAGACCTTTTTGAAAAACAGACTTTTTCATGCATGTGATGAAAGTAATCGTTAATCATCACCTAAGGTCGATGCTTGTAATATTACCGGCGTTTGGCGCAACGAGCTGGGCTCCACGCTGCATGTGAAGGCGGATGGGTCGGAGATCAGAGGTGTGTATCAGACCGCAGTGGAGAGTATGAGCGGCGCCGCTGGGTTAGACCGCACAGCCAAAGTCATCGGGCTAGTTGGTGATGGGACTCAACCCACTGTTTCATTCTCCGTACTGTGGGAGAAAGGTAAAATACACTTAAGTAACCACACATTCCCTCAACAATATGTTACTTATTTGGCTAGGGGTGACCGTTCAATGTAACACATTTAACGTTAGGGACTATAAGCAAACGCTTGCTGGGTTAGCATCACATGTGGTTTTAGGCTTTATTAACGCCCATACATTACCGTAAGCATAGCATTACAACAATGCAAATATAGTGTTATATAGAGTAGTATTATTCGGCAGAACCAGGTAAAAGGCATAGGCCTTAAAAGGGGCAGAACAATGGCTACCGGAAGTAAACCTTTGACTAACAAAGTAACGTTAACCACAATAAAAAGGGCGGCGTAAGTGATAATTTAACAAACTAGCCCACAAAAAGTAATAGAATTGTTGCTTTTGGCCTTAAATTACATAACAGATACAGTTAAAATGATACATAACCATAAAATATAACATTACTTATCTAATCTGTTACATCCTGACTGTTACAGCAGAACGTCACTAGGTAGCAATTAATGTCGCGCATGCGTAGAACACCGTTGCCGTTCATAGTTGTATAAAGTCACTATTTTGTTTCGACTGTAACAGTGTTCGTTTTTTTTTATATATATTATATATATATATATATATATATATATATATAATATACCCATAGGCTATCTGCTACAAATTAATACTTATGTAGCATACTATTTAAGTGCATACAAAGATACACCAGATTTTGCATTCATTTATTAATATTTACTTGAAAATGGCCACACAAGTCATATTTCAGCTGGCAGATGTTGTTTTCAACTTTCACATGGCTAAAATATACACAGTATGTGTTAGACTTTTTATTACTATTTTTTTAATTAAAGGGCATGAAAACATGCATGTCCAAATATGCAAATTGTAATGTGGTGATAGACTTTTTTTTTTCAGTTGAGCTGTCGGTTAAAAAAGTATTAATTGCTAAGGTTTAATCCATGGATGAGTTTCACTCTTGAAAATAAATAAATAAAAAAACAGATGAAATAACACCACTTTAGTAGAATGGCTTAAGCACACTAGGCTATATGCCAAACTACAGTGCTTTTTTATTTTGTCAAGATGCATGGTTACTTTTGAATGGACGTCATTGGGGAAAGCTTTTTGACAGCATAATGATGCTGCTACTGCATTTAGTGCTTAAAAAGGCTTTTTTTTCTTTCTCGCTTCCTGCTGGCAAATGGTAATTTGTTAGAAACTGGTTTTTATTTTTATTTTTTTCTCTTCTGTATAGTTTTGTTGACTTTGATTAGGCGCACAATCCTATAATGTGTTGTTTTTGTGCAGGTTCATGTTCTGCTTGGGTTGGTCAGTGCTTTATTTTAGGTGACGGTGCACAAGTGCTGAAAACGCTCTGGATGTTGCGCAGTTTGGCTGACAGCTTGGCTGGTGACTGGGGAAGTACCAGGTAAGCTGTGCGTAAATTCAAGGATTTCTTTGAAAAGTCTATTGAATGTCTATGACTCCATGTCTCCCTCTTTTTGTATTCTAGGTTGGGAGAAGATCTTTTTTTCAAGACTTCAATTTAAAATTAACTCCGTAATAGATTCAACATCATTTAAATTCCTTGAAGGTGTTTTTTCAAGGAGCTTGTAGAGTTTAAACCTACTGAGACATTTAAAATCCTTGTATAAAACCCTCGAGCTTAATAAAAGGCAGAACAAAAAAGAAAGCTTTAAATGGTTTGTGTTGTGACAGTCTTTACACAGACAATATTTCATCACCTTTAGGCTGACATGTCTTATTTGAGCTTTTAATACTAATTCTATACCAAGTGTCGTTGGGTGTAAAAGTGATTTTAATATTAAAGTATTTAATTTGAGCTTAAAGTGCAGAGACTACTATTGAAGCAAAACCATTCATTGGTTAATTTCCTTGAAGTGTAAACTGGTGGTGTTTTTGAGCCTCCCAACCAGGTCCACATAGCAATGTTGACTCAATCAGTGGTGTGAGTTTAGGGATTCTAGTGGTTCAGAAATGGAATTGAAAAATGCAGCACCAAACAGAATTGAGAAATTGGCTTCCCAATTCCCAAGCATTCCACCGGCTCCCTTCGGCCACCGAAACCTCTGCAGGTAGTCTAGTGCAGTTTAAATTATGCATGATCTTGTCATTTCAGTTACAAATGCTGCTTGGAGATGGGGAAGCTAGAGTAAAAAAACATTATCCTGTTTACACAGTGGGAGAATATATGATGACTTGCACTACTGTTCAGTTTTTCCAACCTAGTCTCTACAGGCCAACTTCTCCTAACCTGCAGCTGGACATTTCATCCTGCACCTTCAGCTGAAATGACATTAATGCAAAGACTTTAGAGAATGCTAACTTTGGATCGACATCCAAAATATCAATATTATCTTCAAATTGTATGCGTCATTGCAATCACATTATGTCTTCATTGACTAACATGATATTAACAGTGCATGAGTCTTTGGCAGGGCAACAATAGTTGTTTTCTTTAATTCATTTTAGATATATATATGTATGTGTGCTATACAAATAAACTCAACTAAATGTTTTACTCTTTTAATACCAAGTATACACAGCTGCATTATGATTTGAGTGTCTCGCCTTGAATTTTTAATTCCTTAAGCCTGATCTTCACAATATTATTGCCTTATGCATGTTTTTACATGCAAAAATGAGAATTGAGTAACATTTAATGACCTAATGTACTGATTTCTACACACTTTTGATTCTGTCTCTTCCACATGAACGGTTCTGCAGCCTATTAGTCAAGATCTCTTAAGGCCTTCAGTATAGAGCATGGCTTAATACAGCTATCAGCGCACTCCCATTGAGAACAGCATGCTTCAGGTGATGCGCTCTGATGGACCTGAGCTGAAAATATTGCTATATATACCCACAAAATAGGCAGATTTTTAACTGCAGTTGGTATGTACAAGGCACTTAGTTGAATAAGTCCCAAAAGGAGGCTAATGTAGCCAATTAATCATTGTATTCTTCAGGCAGGAGACTTTATGAGCATTTTAAGTACACAAGTTCTTTGGTGGCTGGTTATAGATGAGATATGCCAGATATTAAGGCATGCACATTAAATTTCTGAAGAATCTTATGAGTATCAGTAAGGTACGCTAAATAAACCATTGGTGATAGTAACAGTGCAAATGAGTCTTTGGTATAGGGCAACAATGGTTCTTAAAATGTTTGGTTTAAATAATTACACAAGCTAAATCACAAATCTTGTTGCGCATCTGCGCTAAAATGAAATACTATAGGTCAATGCATCTATAATAAATCTGTATGTTGTTTACACACCAGTTCTTTTGTGTTATTGCTAAAATTGTAGCTGTTAATTATTCAAATAAATTGTCATGGCCAATATAAAAATTCATTAATTAATATTTTGTCTATAAAAAAGGAAATTATAAAGTTATCCATGCATCCATTTACCAAACCTCTAGTCAAATGTGGGTTTGTTTTAATATCATCCTTTCATTACTGCAGGAGCTGTTAGCTGCAGACAGCCATTGGCTGCATCCAAAATCGCATACTTTCCTACTAGTAGGCGAAAAACAGACAAAATATGTAGACTATGTTGGAATTCACAGTACTCTACTCATAAAAAGTGTAGGCAAAAAGTATCCGGACCTACTTCTGCCGAGATTCTAAAGTGTCCATACGATAGACACTTTACTTTCTCATAAGGCTATATCACTGTAAAAAAAAAAAAAAACTGTTGTTTTTACAGAAAAAAAAAAGCTGGCAGCTGTGGTTACCAGAACATTACCGTAAAAAATATAGTATCAATGGTAATGGTTTTACAGACTTAACTTTTTATATCAAAATTTACAGTAATAAACTGTATTTCAAATATGTATCTGATATAATGTACCAACCTACTGAAGAATTAAAATCTGTTCTGTACTGTTGTAATACACTGACAACCTTCAATCATCCCAGCAGAGATAAGAGTCACATGATAAATCAAAGCTCATTACTATCAGTCTTCCTCATAAAAAGCTTAAAATATTGTAAAAGAAGCTGTACAGTGTTATTTACACAAACATTAAACACCATCATGGTAACACACATGATGGTGTTTAATGTTTAATGCACATTTTTGACATTTTAAAAATGCAATAAACATTAATTTAAATGTAAATGTGCCTTCCCTTGCCTTACATGTTAAATGTATCGTTAGATTTATCACAGTTATTTACCGTGTATAGTAAGGAAACTTTCTGTTAACCAATTAACCGTTTTGCACTGTAACATCTTTTACCGTTAAAATCACAATGATTTTTACAGGATTTGTGAATGACAGTGAAGTGACGCAACACATATAATAATTATAATAATAGATTTTATTTGTTGTGTGCCTTTCTCAAACTCAAAGCATTAATATAAAACATATTTTTAGCAGTTGTGAAGTAATTACACATTCAAAATAAGTACCCACTCAGGGCCGGCGCATGCCTATAATGGCGAAGGCAGCCGCTGAGGGCGACAAGGAAGAGAACGATTTAAATTTGCATTAAATTTATTTATTTAAATTTTGGACATTCGTTTGGAATTAGTGCACTTATATCAACAAGTTATCGCCCCATTAGTTATTTTAAATCTAAATAACCTCTGCTTGATTGTACCTGCTACAGTGAGAGCTGCAGTTGAGCTGGTGTCTGCCCTAGAGAGTATGCAATTTCATACGCAGCCATTGCTAATGCGATCATCAAACATTAAACAGCATATAAATCAAAACTCCCTAACATTACCGAATGAAATGTTGAATTCGAGAGATAGCGACTTTGCAAACTTTGGGGGCGTTGATGGAATTACAAAATTTACAATGTGCCATATTAAAATGGATATTTTGCCATTTTCTGAAGACTAAAAATGTAATAGCAATTGTTTAAAGTGTAAAGATTCATTATAATTGAGTATTTGATAAATATATGTTATGTTATATATAATATATATACAAGAATAAATTACGTTCTATCAAATTAGTGTTAAATATGAACAGAAATATAATTTCTACTTACATAATACAGTCATTTTAACCAATATGGTAAAAAATATTGTGCATAGCTGGGGCTTTTGTTTAGTTTGAAAAGCTTTCAGTGATCTTCAGATATCCTCTCACATTCATCTTTTCTACTGCATTGGCACTTATAGTGGAAGCATTGACTTTTAAATGACAGCTAGGTTGAGGATTTTCTGAATTTGTTTTGAGATTAAATGAAAATCATCGTAACTAGTGATTTACCGCACCACTGGAGTCAAAATTGACGTTGAGACTCTGAATATCAGTGGAAACACTTCTCTTATTTATAAGTACTGTGATTAAGGATAAATAACATTTCATTTTCCATTTTAAAAGGTGTCCAACTTTTTAAAATCTTTGAATTGAAAATATCATGAAAGATGTATGAGGTGACAAAAACATTCTTTTTCTGTATTATATTTCAGTGTATTCCGTTTTGAATACAAAAAGCGAAGACTGCCTGATCCTTTAGTAACTGTGAGACGTGGGAGTAAGATGCATTCAGTATAGAAAGCAAAAGGACATACGGTCACAATGCATTCTCTGTTCATCTTCAAACCATTTATCCATAGCAGACACTTTCAGCTCTCCAATCATATTTGTTGTGGAGTTTGACTTGTCATAAAGATTTTCCGTGACTGACAGCTCCTCAAACCGACTCATCTCGAATCATTAATTCTGTCATATGTCTGGGTTCTGTCATATAACACGATTTTGGTTTGTTCCAGTTTCTTTCTAATTAGATTTTTGCCCTTGGCTCTCAGGATGCAAGAAAGAGGTGATCTGTTTAATAAAGATGTAGCAGAATCTGATTTACCCGCATTTCCTATCTTCAGCATGTCAACTTCTCCCTGGAGATTCACCACCCAATGTCTTCGAGTCTTTGAAGAACCAGACTCTTCCTCCAAAAGATGCTCCCATCTTTCAGGGTTTTTCAGTTTCTTTGAGCTGGAAACAGAGAACGAAATTATTTTTGGAAGATAAACTAACAATACCAAAATGCCTTGAGGATGGCAAATGCTTGCAGGCAGGTGTCTCCTTAAATATTCTCTGCCTTGAGAAAACGCCTGATTTTTACTTGTGTTCTGTCTCCTCAGATTGTCAATACAACAGGCTTCTGTCTTGTCTCTGGAGTTGGCCTTCTCATCAATCCTCCTTATGATTTTTTTTTTTATATTTTCAAATGTGGTATAATGAAAAATAATATATTTTTAATGATTTGTAAAAGAAGTCTCTGTTGTCCCCAGAGTGTGTATGTGAAGTTTTAGCTCAAAATACTTCACACATAATTTTTAAAATTGTCTCTTTTTTGAGGATCAGTAAAAACATGTTGTTTTGTGTGTGTCCCTTTAAATGCAAATGAGCTGCTGCTGCTCCAGGCGCTGAGGGCGGAGCTTCAAGAGCTTGTGTGTGTGTGTGTGTGTGTGTGATAGCAGCTCTGACTACCTCGTGAAGACGAGCAAAAAAATGTCAGAAACTGTTCTGCCTTTTATGTTTAAACTGGAGTCGGACAATGATGGATAGATTCAAGAACAAGTAACAACATGTAGAATGCAACAGGACGTTTATGCATTTTAAGTATATTGCTTACATACTATCTCTTTGTTTGTTTTTTTATGTTACAGAAGCTATCTTATCCTCCGGTTAGCTTTATGAATCA